TAGGATTCTCCCATTTATATCCAGAAATATTTCATTACGTGACTATGAACAGGACTCTCCCACTCACATCCAGGAATATTTCATTACGTCATTAAGGATAGGATTCTCCCATTTAAATCCAGGAATATTTCATTACATGACTATGGATAGGATTCTCCCACTCGTATCCAGAAAAATTTCACGGACGTGACTATGAATAGGACTCTCCCACTCATATCGAGGAATATTTAATTACATGACTATGGATAGGATTCTCCCATTTATATCGAGAAATATTTCACTATACGTGTCTATGAACAGGACTCTCCCACTCATATCCAGGAATATTTCATTACATGACTATGGATAGGACTCTCCCACTCATATCCAGGAATATTTCATTATATGGTTATAGATGGGACAGCCCCCCTCATATTCATGGAATTTCATACCTCTACTGTTGCTTCAGAAAATCATACAGAAGTTAAAATGAACTGTCCAGGTGTTAAATAGAAAATAATGCTTATTTATCTCAGTTACACATTTCTTGCTGTACACATTGCTCTACTGTTGCAGGATAATACGTTTATGCTACTGCATATGAAGATATTTTAATCTCCCTAGAGTTAGCCCTGAACATCACTTGGGCTTGGAATTCAGTGTTAAAAAGGTTAATCTTGAGCGTTAGATTTTACATAGTACCCCCAAGAGTTTCTTGGGGTAAATGCTAATGAGGCCAGATTTCAGAATGGGAGACCACTTTGATGTGAATCCCGGATTGCCAGATGACAGCAAGAACTGTAAGCAAATAAAAAAAAAAATTTAGTACTGCTCCTTTGTTTATTTATTATCAAGTAGTGCTGGGGAGACATCATAGACCACTGGCATCTCTATAAGGCTGCATTCACATCTGAGCGTAGAGATTTACTGGCCTTTTTTTTTTTTTTTTTTTTTTTTTTTTAGAGTTTTTAAGCATTTTTAGAAGTGTATTACCAGCGTTTTACAGCTTCAGGCGTTTTTGTTTAGCCCATAGAAAGCACTAGGGGGGGGGGGAATTAGGGGTTTTGCTTCAGACGACAGAACACGCATATGTGAGCAGGGGCCATTGAAATAAATGGGATTTGGCTTGTTAAATGTTTTAGAGCTACAAGCTTTAAGTAGAAAATCGCTCAGGTGTGAATGCAGCCTTAGTCTAGGTTCACACCTATGCGTTTTCTGCTGTGTTTTGCAGAAATGCACAGCAGTCCATTTAACATGATTTCCTATGGGACAGGTTTACATCTCCGCGTTTTCACTCCGTGCGTTTTTTGAAAAGGGTCAGGGGCGTTGTGTTTTTGATTCTATAGACTTCAATGGAGACACTGCAGAAAAGATGTAGTGCGTTTTTGATGCGTTTTGCATTTTAATCTGCCCTGCAACAAGTAAAAAAAAAAAAAATACACGGCAACAACACATGTGCAAAAAAGCACCACAAAACGCACTGCAGAAATGGATCAAACGCAAACTGCATAGGTGTGAACCTAGCCTTATGAGGGTCTGTCATTTTAAATATACTATGACCAAGGGGCTTGCCAGTCTCTTTGTAAAAGTAAGAAAAACAAAAAATAAAAAACTAATAAAAAACACTTTAAAAAAGCAAAACCATTTTAAAAAGGACCCCTGCCCCCTATTTGCAACTACAACCTTTCATTCCAATGGCTTTCTGCTTTGAGAAAATACAGAATGTTTTGGGTTTTTAAAGACTAAAATTGTGCATTTTAATGTGCAATGCATTTTAAATTTAACTTTTTGAATTTTATTCTGTGGGGAAACATAACATTAAAAGAAATAATTGTCTACTTTCAACCTCTTGGCGACAGTTTGGTGATGGCCCTTTTCTGTTCCTCCATGTCTGCACATCTCTATCAAGACATGTTAAGAAGTTTTTCATAGAAGCATTCAAATGGTCTGCATAAAACCCTGACCTCAACCCCCTGAAACACCTCTGGGATGAATTGTACGCCACATATTTTGAGTTATTTTTTATATGCCTCTATAAAGTTTACATAATCACTTTTCCATATTTTTGTTACTGTATTATATGCAGAGGTTTGTAAATTAGCCACTGGGGCAGAGCAGATTACTATAATGACTTCCTGTAGAAAAGCGTAAGTTCGCCTTCTCACAAAACATGAACAGGTGAACTAATTCCAAATATTCTGGCCACCCCTCTGGACCTTGCTGCATATAGCAGTTGTGATTCCCTGTGCTGCCAGTGTAATGGTCCATACACCACAATACACAGTCTTGGAGTGACTATCCATCGTAACGGCAAGCACTTAGTGGTCAGCAGGACCATGTGACCATGCAGACCAATAGGAAGTGTTTTTTTCCAGGACACCTTAGTGAAAAAAGGAGCTACGGCTGTGCTTCTTATTGGTCAGCACTGTCATTATTATTATTATACAGGATTTATATATTATTATTATTATTATACAGGATTTATATAGCGCCAACAGTTTGCTCAGTGCTTTACAATATAACGGGAGACAATACAGCAACAATACAGTTCAATACAAGAGGGATAGGAGGGCCCTGCTCTTGGAGCTTACAATCTAGGAGATGAAGCTGCGCTGACTGCTTGTCATTGCGAGCATTATACTCTCTCCAGGGCTGCTTATGGACCTTTACACCAGCAGCACAAGGCATCATGTGCAGTGCAGTCCAGAGGAGTTGGCAGAATATATCAAGTTATTTTGCGTTTTAATTTTTTGTGAAAAGGTGAAAGTAACCTTTAACAACTACAGTTGCAAGAAAAAGTATGTGAACCCCTTGGGATTACGTGGAGTTTTGCATGAATTGGGCATAAAATGTGCTCTGAACGTCATCTAAGTCACAACAATAGAAGAACACAGTCTGCTGAACATAATACTACACAAACATTAGATGTTGCCATGGTTTAATTGCACATAACATGTACACATTCACAGTGCAGGGAGGAAAAAGTATGTGAGGCCCTAGCTTAATGACTTCTCCCAGAGCTAATTGGAGCCAGGAGTGAGCCAACCTTGACTCCAATCAGTGTGATGATATTGGATGTGTTGCTGACAGCTGTCCTGCCCTCAAAAAACACACACCTGTTTTGGGTTTACTGGTTTCAAGAAGCACTGTCTGATGTGAACCATGCCTCGCAGAAAAGAGCTCTCAGAAGACCTACGATCAACAATTGTTGACTTGCATGAAGCTGGAAGGGGTTACAAAAGTATCTCCAAAAGCCTTGATGTTCATGTGTCCACGGTAAGACAGACTGTCTACAAATGGAGAAAGTTTAGCACTGTTGCTACTCTCCCTAGGCGTGGTCGTCCTGTAAAAATGACTGCAAGAGCACAGCGCAGAATGCTGCATGAGGTAAAGAAGAATCCGAGTGTCGGCTAAAGACCTACAGAAATCTCTGGCACATGCTAACATTTTTGTTGACACATCTACAATAAGGAAAACATTAACCAAGAATGGAGTACATGGGAGGACACCACGGAGGAAGCCATTGCTGTCCAAAAAGAATATTGCAGCACGTTTGAAGTTTGCAAAAGAGCACCTGGATGTTCCACAGCACTACTGGCAAAATATACTGAGGACAGATGAAACCAAGATTGATTTGTTTGGGAAGAACACACAACACTATGTGTGGAGAAAAAAAAGGCACAGCACACCAACATCAAAACCTCATCCCCACTGTGAAACATGGCGGAGGGAGCATCATGGTTTGGGGCTGCTTTGCTGCCTCAGGGCCTGGACGGATTGTTGTCATTGATGGGAAAATTAATTCCAGAGTTTATCAAGACATTTTGCAGGAAAACGTACGACCATCTGTCCGCCAACTGAAGCTCCGCAGAGGATGGGTGACGCAACAGGACAATGACCCAAAGCATATAAGTAATTCAACAAAACAATGGCTGCAACAGCACAGAATACACCTTCTGGAGTGGCCCAGTCAGAGTCCTGACCTCAACCCGATTGAAATGCTGTGGCATGACCTTAAGAGAGCGATTCACACCAGACATCCCAAGAATATTGCTACACTGAAACCGTTTTGTGAAGAGGAGTGGTCCAAAATGACTCCAGATCGTTGTGCAGCTCTGATCTGCAACTACAGGAAACGTTTGGTTGAGGTTATTGCTGCCAAAGGAGGGTCAACCAGTTATTAAGTCCAAAGGTTCACATACTTTTTCCTCCCTGCACTGTGAATGTTTACATGTTATGTGCAATTAAAGCATGGCAACATCTAATGTTTGTGTAGTATTATGTTCAGCAGACTGTGTTCTTCTATTGTTGTGACTTAGATGACATTCAGAGCACATTTTATGCCCAATTCATGCAAAACTCCACATAATCGCACGGGGTTCACATACTTTTTCTTGCAACTGTACTATATCAGCCATCAAACCAATACTATATTTTCAGTATGCTGTCTAACTCAAACATGCATTGTGTGGAGGATTGGTAAAACACAACCATGTGTAGCACTGTAAAGCAGGAAGCAGAACTTGAGTATGTAATGAGCAAATATAGCTGCACCAAAGGACATATATAATCACAAAGCCATATATAGAAAAAAGTGTTGTTTTTTTCTTCTAAAGAGTAACATACATTGATAACATTATTTACATCAAGATGATCACTTTTACAGTTTAGGTAATATAAAACGTAAACTCTGCTTTTATCAGCAGAAATCACTTTTGCTTTATAAAGAGATGTTTCCAGTTAGAACATTTACAGCAATCACTAAACAAGAAATCACATCATTAAATAAAAGTCATTGCAGAGAGGAATGCCTGCAGGGTGACCACAGTTTTCAAACACATGGAAGTACTTGGTTCTACCTTTTGCTGTAAACTAATGAAGAAGTAAAACAAAGACAATTTGTTCATTTGTATTCATGTGCAGTAACTCTCACTGCACATTTCCAGGGCTTTAAAGTAAAAGAAAACATTTTTTTAAATAAAAAGTAAAAAAAAATAAAAAAAAGTCATTTACAGCTATATTTATGGAGCTTTTTTGTGCTCATCTGATAAACTTCCATCCATGTGCTCCTGAAAGATCTTCTCTGCATGATGGAGATATTCTGCTGTTCTACGTGCAACGGCCTCACGACGCTCAGGACAACAATCATCTAATATGAAGAAAAAGCAGAGCACATTTATAAGCTCCAGTAAGATATCTAAATCATGATCTGCCAGCCTCAGCCTAGTAATAGTGTCATGACTTCACTTTTGTTTTTTTTTATATTACAAGAAATTTTGTCATGTTGTGTCAGAAATCTATAATAAAAGCTACCATGCCATATACTCACAGGCTGCAAAGAAACTTAAAGCTGTAATAAACCCCAAACCAAAAGTGTAATACATTGAAGCTAACTAATCATTAGATGGTAGATCTGGTGGATGCATTCATTTTCTTATTTTTAGGCTTTTTTTCATAAGCTAGCTGGTGCTCTGCGTGTCTATGGACACACACAGCCTGGCTCTGGAGCATGCCTGCATGGGTGGCCCCTTACCAAACAGCTTGCTGAGGGGGAAGAAGTGGACACTGATTTTAGGAAAAAGGTTTGTCTTCATTATCACTTTAAAATGTGGTAGCAGCATTAGTTTTCTTTTTGAGTTTTTTCCTTTATTTTCACCTGCTGCAAATAGGATGTTCACTGTGCAAGGGATTCACTTACCATGAAGTGTTACTAAACCCACAACAGTAAAATCAGTCTGTATATGCAGTAAAGCAAACTTGTTATACTCACTGTGGAACTTAAACAGAGTTCCAGTGAAAAGAAGAGGCAAGTCCTCTAAAAGCATTGGCCTGTTGCATATCCATTTACCCTGTGATGGCATGTGATGTTCTCTGGATTTGATGGTGCTGCTGTTAATGCCGAGCATTTGTTTCACTCATCTTTTGTGAGTATATTACTTACCACTTTTATACAATAAAATCAAGGTTAATGCACTAGGCCAGTGCGCCCTTTTTTGCTTTTCGGTTACAGTGTTTTTGGACATCCCCAGTCCTTTGAGGGCAGCAAGGCGAATGTCATCTATGTCATCTGTCATAATTCATTGTGACCTTTGAGCCCACTCCCTAGCGCAGGAGATTTTGCATTTTGACTTTGAAGCTACAAAAACTGTAGCTGCTGACTTTTAAAAACCAGCCCTCACCTGTCCCTCGATCCCACGGTGTCTCCCCTGCAGCCAGTTTCACCGGCTATCCTGTGTTCCCAGCGCCAGCATCTTCAGTGTGGGCACCCAGCTGTGACAGCTTGCACCTTCACAGCCAGGTGCCCACTGCACATGTGCGAGTAGCGCTGCACTTTGTGAATGGTCCCGTAGTCTTCTGGGACCTGTCACATGTCCCAGAAGACTATGGGGAGGGAGGAGGTACCTGTCAATTTTGGGTACCCACTCCTCAAAAGGTGCCATTCCTTAACAGGGAGCGGGGGACCAGTCCTTAAAGCGGAACTTCCCCTTTTGGGTGGAGCCCTGCTTTAAGAGATTAATCCTCTGCATTGTGCAAAAAATATGTTTGATCCTGTCTTCTCTGATCCTCCCTTTCTTCCATGTTCCCCATTTCATCTCCTGATAGGACACAGCCTCGGGGACACTCTGCACATGCTCAGTTTGGTGTGTATCGCTAGAGAGTTTTTTCTTTTTCTTAGGAGGGTGCATGTGGTCAGCACAGGTTATGCAATCGCATAGGGCAGTGAGAGGAGAATGAAAACTCCTCCTACAAGCTTTAACCAGTGTTCAGATGGACACGGATAGAAGTCACAAGACTGCTCTAACCGCTAATGAGAAAAATTATTTAGCAGTTTTATATTTACTAAAATAATTGCACTTCCATGTTCTGTGTACTGTGGAAGACTAGAGCTAGTGAATGCAGGGTCCTGGGTTTAGTAACATTTTAATGAATGTGGTAAAAATTCACTTTTCAAATAATACCTAGCACTTGCAAGAGAAGTAAAAAAAAATAAATAAAAAACAGTATTTTGGTTGCCCATTTGGACAGTGGAAGTCAGGAGAGCTTTATCTCATTCAATAAGCTATGGGACAATTCCCTAGTTTGTCTATTTGTCTTTAGTAAATCAACCCCCTTGTGTCTAGCAGTCATATTCCTGCCCCTTAGTTTTAATGCTGAACCCCACTGTTCTCTCAGCTGCACCCGGCAAAGGACAACATGGAATCAAGTGTCAGTAACACATTAAACTCACGTCCCACTGCTACATTAATTCTGCATATAATTCCTGGAGATTTCATTTAAGGTTCTTAGTATTTGAGGTCAAGGTTAGCAACACTTGTGTCCTAATTCAACATTTGCAGTTTATGGATAAGTTATAGCTCAGGTCTCAGTGTACGGTGATGATATGATGTTCACGTTGACCAACCTCAGGATTGCTATCCCCAACCTGCTCCAAGAATTTGAGCGATACGGGGCCCTCTCTAATCTTACAATTAACTTATCTAAATTGGAGGCGATGGGGGTGTTACTACCACACTCTCTTACCTGCTCCCTACAGTCCGACTTTAATTTAGGTGGACCACCACGGCCCTGAACTATCTAAGAACTTTGATTCCCCCACTTGGTTTGGGTGGTGTAATATCATTAAAATGTGCATTCTACCAACATTTATTTACTTATTTCCAGCTCTGCCGATCCCCATCACCTCAGCATTTTCAAAACAGGCCCACTCTTTCCTATATGGCTTTATTTTGGCACATAGGAGACCCAAGATCCATTGTTGACTACTTCTCTTGCCCAAGCAATTTGGAGGCTTGGCAAAACATTTGTAAAAATATTATCAGGCAGTACATCTTGAGAGGTTAGTGAACTGGTGCCATCACAGTGATATTAAACTGTGGCCACGCATTGAACAGGCCGAAACCCCGATACCGCTTCACCATGCCCTGTGGTGCTATGTGGATCTACCTCTCACACTTAAATTCCATCCGCTCATTGGCACAACATCGCACATTCCCCAATTTTCTCATTGATGTCTATTGCCCCTGGGCACTCTTCCATATTTCTAATCTTGGACAAACCGTGGTTTGCATCTGGCCTCAAAGAACACTCTTATAGGAATCACCTTCAATCTGGTCAGCTCCAATCATCTCACGTTTTGAAGTCTGGTTCATGGCCTTCTATGTAGACTTTCATGAACCCACCGGGCATCTATAAATTACATTTTTGGAGGGCTCTGCAAATTAATCACTTTCTTCATTCTCTCCTTCTTTCCCCCAGATAGCTTTCAGTGTAGAGGGACTACCTTGGAGGAATATTGCTTGGGCCAGGATGCACTTCTTCATGCACTTTCTAAAATGTATTCGCTTTTATTCCTACCTCCAGAGGATTTCTCATTGCCAAACCTTAACAGCTTCCTGCCCAACCTATAGCAGATTGATGGCCTGGGTGGGACGTTCCTCCCTCTGCATGTGCATCCTTTGAGAAGGCACCGCGCAGCGGTGAGATCTGTCACTAGTTGCGTCTACCAGACACAGCCGATAACTGATCACTACCCGTATGCTGCCAGTGTCATGTGATTGCTGTGACCAATCACGTTGTAAACAATGGATGGCTTCCTTTCACACCTTCCATTCTATACAATTGTGCTGTTAGCTGTGATTGGTCAGTGATCACATGGTACAGACAGGGTCAATCACAGCCCATCTGTACCATTTGTTTAGCTTTGGCCAATCACAGCAAAAGACACAGAATTAATCAGTTTCATTCAGTAAAAATGGTTTCTTAGAACAATGAAATACAATGCACCATCTCATGCTGCAAATAATACCTCTGCATCAATGGCTGTTATGGGGATAAAAGGAGAGAAAGTCATTTTGTGGCCTCCGTCCTCCTCTGACCTCAATCCTATTGAGAACCTTTGGAGCATCCTCAAGCAAAAGATCTATGAGGGTGGGAGGAAGTTTACATCCAAACAGCAGCTCTGGGAGGCTATTCTGACATCTTGCAAACAATTTCAAGCAGAAACTGTCCAAAAACTCACAAGTTCAATGGATGCAAGACTTGTGAAGCTGCTATCAAATAAGGGGTCCTATGTTAAAATGTAACGTGACCTGTTAAAATGTTTAAAAAGTTAAAATGTTGTTAAAAGTTTGATTGAAATAGCTTTTGATTTTAGTAAATATGCTGCAAACACAACAAATGACAATTTTCAGTTCTTTACAACCTATAAAGTGTTTTGAAACTTACTGTGCATAATAATTTGGAACAGTGCATTGGAAGTGTTTTATGTTTAAACACTTGCCGTCCGCCTGCCAGTTATAAACGGCAGGACAGTGGCACTCCAGGGGCGGGTTGCCGTTCATAAACTGCACCCGCCATTTCTAGCTGTGCGCGCTCCCTAGGAGCGCGTAGCTCCGCGATCTGGTGCCCGCTGTGTCCTCCGGACACAGTGAAACACCGATCGTCGAACGGGATCCCGATCATGTGATCACTGATTGGCCAATCAGTGATCACATGCAAAGTAGTAAGCAAGATGTCACTTGTGACATCATTGCTTACTATGTGTGAAATCTGTGAATGATCACAGAGGTCACATGGTACAAGGCTATTCACAACAGCCTTGTACCATGTGACAAGCTGTGACCAATCACAGCTCACTCAGTATTTCTCAGTGGCTGCAAGAATGCAGACAGAGAGAAGGAGAAATTATTGCTTTTACATCCTATATGGGTGTAAAAGCAATCACTGTAAAAAAAAAAAAAAAAAAAAAAAAAAATTCATCACCCCCCCACAAGTAGTACAGTGTCACCATGGTGACACTGTACTGCTAGGGTGACAGTATGTAACAAAAAAAACAACAAAAAAAAAACATAAATAATAATATAAAAAAATTAAATAAAAATGCAAAAAAAAAAGTTTAAAAATTATAATTTTGGTTATAAACTAATTTGGCTTATTTTTCTTTTTTACTAAAAAGATAATGAAATACATTTTGGGAAAGATTTATGATGAAAGATTATTATATTTGCAAAATTTTATAAGAAAAACACTTTTTTTCAAAATTTTTGGACTTTTTCATTTACATAGTAAAAAAAATAAAAATCCTAGCGGTGAATAAATACCACCAAAATAAAGCTTTACCTGTCTCAAAAAAATGGAAAAAAATCATATGGGTACAGTGTTGCATGACCACACAATTGTCATTCAAAGTGTGATAGCACTGAAAGCTGAAAATTGCCCTGGACAGGAAGGGAGTAAAAGTGTCCGGACAGGAAGTGGTTAAAAAAAATACTGTTATCATTAGGAGGTTTGTTCAATAAAATTTGAATTGTACTCTTAATAGTTGATAACATGAGAATAATGCTGACTGTTATTTGCATCAATTATGTAGGCAAATGAGAAAAATATAATTTGCATAATAATTTGGAACACGGTGTATGTATATATATATATATATATATATATATATATATGATATGAATGAAAATAGATTAATCCTGAAGTATGATGGCCAATCTAATTTTCTTAGGGCCCAAAAACACCTAGTACAAATATCATTTTTTGATTATTTTCACTAAAGAAATGTAGCAGAATACATTTTGACCTAAATTCATGAAGAAAGGTTATTTATTTGCAAAATTTTATAACAGAAACAAAGAAAACTTTTTTCCCCCCAAATTTTCAGTGTTATTTTTTGCTAAATAAACAAATAAAAAATAAACTTAGTGGCGCTCAAAGTGCAACAGCATTGAACGCTGAAAAGTGGCCTAGGGCTAGGCAGGAAGGAGGTAAAAGTGCCCGGTATTGAAGTGGTTAAAAAAACGGGAAGCAGATTTGGGAAGGATGTTCACGAAATCACAAAAAACTACTACCATAATTTGAGTTGCCTTAAAATCCCCACTTTGCGCAAGAATTCAGGAGAATAAATTTTAATATCATGGTGGTATAGAACCCCTTCAATTTTGCATACGTTTTTCCCCAGAGACTTTGGATAGATGCTGACGGTGCTAGGAGGAGCAGGGGAAGCTTTTACACATCTTCTGGTCCTGCTCTAAACTCAGATGCTATTGGTGAGAGGCCTGGCGGATATTTTAAAACATTTTCAATTATCCTGTTCCAAATGACCCAGCATTCTTTCTCCTTCATGTTACTAATGTACCTTCTAAAATCTACAAAATATCAATAGTGTGTCATCTTCGAAATGCTGCTAAATCCTGTTAATCCTTTAGGTGGAAGGATCCACAGCCCCCATCCATTGGGCTCTGGCTCCACAAAGTTAAGGATTTGAATTTTAAGGACCTTGTGTTGACGCACCAACACAAATGTGAGGTGTATACTAAAATATGGTCATTATGGAACATGTTCATATATTTCTGAGGAAGGAAGGTCTCTTCTCGTGGTTAGTCCCTCTGACATTTGAATACAGGAGTTGCTTTTGCACTAGATGTGAGTGTAGTCTCTCGTGATACCTCCCCTTTTTTTTCTCCAGCCCCTCCCCGACATTGCTCCATACTTCCTCTTTCCCCTTCTGTTTGTCCTCCCTTTACGTCCCTTCTTCTTGGACTCTCTCCTTTCTAACACAGTCTAATTGAAGGAGAACAAAAGTTCAGCAGTGTCCTCCATTGTCAATAAGTGGTGGGAAGACCTCTATGAGGTATTACTCCCAGACCTTCCAACTTCCAGAGTTATTCAGTATTTTATGGGTCTTTGCACAAGATGTTTCTGGTACACTTGTTGAGGACACCCCCTGTTCATCACCTCACTCACCTTGGTTACATTGTACTGGTATTATTGCAACGTTTTACATAATTGGAACCTGCTGATATATTTTGTTTAAAATAAAAAAAAATATATATATATGTATATCTCTTACAGGACCGTGATCCAAATAGTTTACCTTTCACTCCCTTTAATAAGATATCCACGGCATTTCGGAATAATTTGAAGGCTTCAGGGTAATCTTCAGCCAATTCTAACTCCATTGCTCTCTGAACTTCTAATGTGGCTTGTGACAGGTAAATGCCACCATCTTCTAGGCCAGCAGAAGGATGATCCTCCACTTCACACTTCAGAGATAGCAGATGCAAAGAGGTTTCGGTTTCTCTTCAATTGCACCTTCTGGAATTATGATTAACACAATAGTTTAGAATTGGCAAGTGCAGGTGGGATCTACATTGCCAAGAATCCCCCTTCAACCAGCAACTCGATATTAAATATCAGGGGGCACAAAAAACATTTTAGCAAAGTAAACACTGCTCCACCATCCACAGCTCTTGGTTTGCACAACCTGCTTTCTGACCTCTGCAGATCTCACCTCTGCACCCCCCACCCTTTCCCAGGTCTCCACTCTGCACAGATCCCCACCACCATCCACTTTCCCAGCTATCTTCTTTGATAAAATTCCCCCAGCTTCCCTCTCTACACAAATCCCCCCCAGCTAAAATTCTCCCCCAGCTCTCTCTCTGCATAACCCCACGAAACATACATTTTCCAAAGTTCTCCTCTCTGCTGCTACCCCCCCCCCCCCCCCCAAATACACACACACACTTTCCCAGTTCACCTCTTTGCAAAATCCCCTCCTGCCAGCTCACTTCTCTGCTAAAATTCCCCTCCTCCCCAGCATTCCTCTCTACCACAATTCCCCTAAAAGCCCCCCTCCCAATCTCACCTCTTTGCAAAGTTACCCCCCACCTCTCCTCTCGTCTAACATTTCCCCCAGCTCTCCTCTCTGCACAAATCCCCCCTAGCTCTCTTCGTTGCACAGATTCCACTCCCCCCTCCACTTTTCCAGTTCTCCTCTGCACATATTCCCCAAACCCCCACTTTGACAGTTCTCCTCTCTGCACATATTCATTCTCTCAAAAACCCTGCTCCTCCCTCCCTTTCACAGCTCTCTCACCTCTTCAGGAAAGCCGCCACCGCTGTATATGGTGTGTGCGGGCTCTTCTCTTTTAAGCTCAGCAGTGTGATGATCGGAGAGCTCCATGCTAAAATGTCAGCGGAGGAGCGGCAAGCAGGGATGGAAGCTGCCTCCTGAACCACCACAAGCAGCTGCTGTGCTGGGACCCAAGAGGCTTGCTACGGCTCACTAGTACAGAGAAGCCGGTAGAGAAAGTGAGCTGTGCAGAAATCTTCCTCTACCAGTTAATGTGTTACATGACAGGTTGGAGAGGAGAGGACTGCTGAAGGTACCGGTACACACAAACAACACACACACACCTCAAAAAAATGTATTAATAACAGGTGCACTAGATGGGCAACAATGAGACGACCCCCAAAACAGGAATGGTTTTACAGGTGGAGGCCACTGACATTTTTTTTCCCCTACTCATTCTTTTCTGACTGTTTTTCACTAGTTTTGCATTTGGCTAGGGTCAGTGTCACTACTGGTAGCATGAGGCAATACCTGGACCCTACAGAGGTTGCACAGGCAGTCCAACTCCTCCAGGATGGCACGTCAATACGTGCCATTGCCAGAAGTCTGCTGTGTCCCCAGCACAGACTCAGAGCATGGAGGAGATTCCAGGAGACAGGCAGTTGCTCTAGGAGAGCTGGACAGGGCTGTAGAAGGTCCTTAACCCAGCAGCAGGACCGGTATCTGCTCCTTTGTACAAGGAGGAAGAGGATGAGCACTGCCAGAGCCCTACAAAATGACCTCCAACAGGCCACTGGTGTGAATGTCTCTGGCTAAACAATCAGAAACAGACTTCATGAGTGTGGCCTGAGGTATTCACCTCCTCTGTTGGGCCTTGTGCTCACTGCCCGGCACCATAGAGCTCAATTGGCATTTGCCATTGAACACCACAATTGGCAGGTCTGCCACCGGCGTCCTGTGCTTCTCACAGATGAGAGCAGGTTCACCCTGAGCACATGTGACAGACGTGAAAGGGTCTGGAGAAGCCATGGAGAATGTTATGCTGCCTGTAACATCGTTCAGCATGACCGTTTTGGTGGTGGGTCAGTGATAGTCTGGGGAGGCATATCCATGGAGGGACGCACACAGACCTCTACAGGCTAGACAATGGCACCCTGACTGCCATTAGGTATCGGGAAGAAATATTTGGACCCATTGTAAGACTATGCTGGTGCAGTGGGTCCTAGGTTCCTCCTGGTGCACGACAATGCCCGGCCTCATGTGGCGAGAGTATGCAGGCAGTTTCTGGAGGATGAAGGAATTGATACCAATGTAATGGCCCCATGCTCGCCTGACCTAAATCCAATAGAGCCTCTCTGGGATATCATGTTTCAGTCCACCCGACACCGCTAGGTTGCACCTCAGACTGTCCAGGAGATCAGTGATGCCCTGGTCCAGATCTGGGAGGAAATACCCCAGGACACCATCTGTCGTCTCATTAGGAGCATGCCCCGATGTTGTCAGGCATGCATCAAGCACATGGGGGCCATACAAACTACTGAGTACCATTTAGAGTTGCTGCAATGAAATTTCAGCAAAATAGACTAGCCTGCTGCATCATTTTTTTCACTTTGATTTTAGGGGTGTCTTTGAATTCAGTCCTCTGTAGGTTGATACTTTCTATCAAACGATGGGGCATCCTTATGTTCCTAACACATTACCCAGTCCATATCAGTATAGATATCCAGCATGAGATTTTTTCCCCATTGAGATCTGATGTGTTTTCAAAGTGTGGCTTTAATTTTTTGAGCAGTGTGTGTGTGTGTGTATATGTGTGTGTGTGTGTATATATATGTGTGTGTATATATATATATATATATGTGTGTGTATATGTGTGTGTGTGTGTACATATATATATACACACACATACATACACACACACACAGACATATATATACACACATATATATATATATATATATATACACACACACACAGTTGCGTTAAAAAAAATAGCAGTCAGACATCACTAACCTGATCAATCACTGTTATTGGTAGAAATTATATTTCTACATGGCAAATAATACTAGCAGGTGCATGCTGCTGATTCTGTGTAATTGAATCACTAATTGAAAGGGGCATGTTCAAAATAATAGCAGTGTGGAGTTCTATTAGTGAGGTCATTCATTATTTGAAAAACAGGTGGCAATTATTGCCTTTATTTAAGGAAGGAAGGCAGCAAATATTGTACATGCTGGTTACAGTGCATTTCTCTCTGAAATTATGAGGAAAATAGGTTGTTCCAGACATTGTTCAGAAGAACAGCGTACCTTGATTAAAAAGTTGATTGGAGAGGAGAAAACATAAAGAAGTGCAGAAAATTATAGGCTGCTCAGCTAAAATGATCGCAAATGCTTTAAAATGGCAACCAAAACCTGAAAGACGTGGAAGAAAGCGAAAAACTACCATTCAAATGGATAGAAGAATAGCCAAAATGGCAAAGACTCAGCCAACAATCAGCTCCAGGAAGATCAAAGAAGGTCTAAAGTTACCTGTGAGTACTGTTACAATTAGAAGACGCCTATGTGAAGCCAAGCTATCTGCAAGAAGCCCCCGCAAAGTCCCACTGTTGAAAAAAAGACGTGCTGAAGAGGTTACAATTTGCCAAAGAGCACGTTGACTGGCCTAAAGAGAAATGGCGCAACATTTTGTGGACTGATGAAAGTAAGATTGTTCTTTTTGGGTCTAGTGGCCGGAGACAGTTTGTCAGACGACCCCCAAACACTGAATTCAAGCCACAGTACACTGTGAAGACAGTGAAGCATGGTTGCGCAAGCATCATGATATGGAGATGTTTCCCATACTACGGTGTTGGGACTATTTATCTCATACCAGGGATCATGGATCAGTTTGAATACATCAGAATACTTGAAGAGGTCATGCTGCCTTATGCTGAAGAGGAAATGCCCTTGAAATGGGTGTTCCAACAAGACAACGACCAACAAACACACCAGTAAACGTGCAACATCTTAGTTCCAGACCAACAAGATTGACGTTATGGAGTGGCCAGCCCAATCCACGGATCTTAATCCAATAGAAAACTTGTGGGGTGACATCAAAAATGCAGTTTCTGAGGCAAAACCAAGAAATAGAGAAGAACTGTGGAATGTAGTCCAATCATCCTGGGCTGGAATACTGTTCACAGGTGCCAGAAGTTGGTTAACTCCATGAACACAGATGTACAGCAGTTCTCAGAAACAGTGCTTATACAATGAAATATTAATTAAGTGATTCAAAGGAAAGCAAAATCTTCAAACATTTTTCAGTTTATATAGTGAATGTTTGAGTTTGTAAAGAAGAATACAAACACTGCTATTTTTTTGAACAGTCTAATGTTCACTTTTCTTCAATTTTTTTAGAGAAACAACACAAATTTGATATATTTTTCTTCATGTTTTGATTTGGAATAGAATGTGTAGTGTTCCCAATGCATTTGTGTGTATGGAAATAAAAGCTATTAGAAGGATTTTGAGCTTTATTCACTTTTTTCAACACACTGCTATTATTTTGAACACAACTGTATGTATAATATAGATAGATAGATAGATAGATAGATAGATAGATAGATAGATAGATACCCACAATATATAGCCAAACGTATTGGGATGACTTTACACGCACATGAACTTTAATGGCATCCCAGTCTTATTCCGTATGGTTTAATATTGAATTGGCCCACCCTTTGCAGCTATAACGGCTTCAACTCCTCTGAGAAGGCTGTCCACAAGGTTTAGGAGTGTGTCTATGGGAATGTTTGATCATTCTTCCAGAAGCGCATTTGTGAGGTCAGGCACTGATGTCGGATGAGAAGGCCTGGCTCACACTCTCCATTCTAATTCATCCCAAAGGTGTTTTATCGGGCTGAGGTCAGGACTCTGTGCAGGACAATCAAGTTCCTCCACCCCAAACTTGCTCATCCATGTCTTTATGGACCTTGCTTTGTGCACTGGTGCGCAGTCATGTTGGATCAGGAAGGGGCCATCCCCAAACTGTTCCCACAAAGTTGGGAGCATGAAATTGTCTAAAATGTCTTGGTATGCTGGCGCCTTAGGAGTTCCCTTCACTGGAACTAAGGAGCCAAGCCCAACCTCTGAAAAACAACCCCACACCATAATCCCCCGTCCACAACAAACTTTACACTTGCCAGAAGAACAGTACTTGCTTGACTGTATTGTGCCAACTGCTAAACCCAGACCTATCCATCGGGTTGCCAGACAGAGAAGCGCGATTCGTCACTCCATAGAACACATCTCCACTGCTCTATAGTCCAGTGGCGGCGTGCTTTACACCACTGCATCTGAAGCTTTGCATTGCACTTGGTGATGTAAGGCTTGGATGCAGCTGCTCAGCCATGGAAACCGATTCCATGAAGCTCTCTACGCACTGTTGTTGTGCTAATCTGAAGGCCACATAAAGTTTGGAGGTCTTAAGCCATTAAATCTGCAGACAGCTGGCCACTTCTGCTGCTCCTGCTCTGTCATTTTACATGGCCTACCACTTTGTGGCCGAGTTGCTGTTCTTCCCAGTTGCTTCCACTTTGTTATAACACCACAAATAGTTGACCGCAGAATATTTAGTAGCAAGGAAATTTCACAGATGGACTTATTGCACAGATGGCAACCTATCATAGTACCACGTTTGAATTAAGGAGAGAAGAAGAAGCGCCCTAAGTGCACCAGACCACTTTAATATATAATAAAAGGTAGGAACACTCACATGGTAGTAGAGTAATAAAAGCATGTAGGGTATTGTGGTGTAGAAACACCATGTGGAACGGCTGTCACTGGTGCCTGTATCGTCCGCGTCTCAATGGTAGGGAGCGTGGTTCAGGAGGGAGATAGATGTGGAGCCGGCAGGCATGCACGTACTCCTAAAGATGGCGGCTGGAACGCATGCTGGGCCGCAACGTCGGCGTAGGCGTGATGTAGTCAGTGACCAAGATGCAATGCTACGCGTTTCAGAGCATGTGCTGGCTTCTAATGGCGGAAGCGTGCTCCTTTCTCAAGCAGGGGAATGACATGGCAGAAGGACCTTTCCTTTTATAATGGCTGTGCCTTAATTGGCAATCAACAATTCGGGAATAACAATTAGCATAATTGGAAACGTGGGTTAGTGATGAGGAACATGTGGGTCTTACAATTAAAAGCATACAGGTGAAACTCCAAAAATTAGAATATCGTGCAAACATTCATTTATTTCAGTAATGCAACTTAAAAGGTGAGACTAATATATGAGATAGACTCATTACATGCAAAGCAAGATAGTTCAAGCTGTGATTTGTCATAATTGTGATGATTATGGCTTACAGCTCATGAAAACCCCAAATCCACAATCTCAGAAAATTAAGAATATTGTGAAAAGGTGCATCATTATAGACTCAAAGTGTCCCACTCTAATCAGCTAATTAAGCCATAACATCTGCAAAGGGTTCCTGATCCTTTAAATGGTCTCTCAGTCTGGTTCAGTAGGAATCACAATCATGGGAAAGACTGCTGACCTGACAGTTGTGCAGAAAACCATCATTAACACCCTCCATAAGGAAGGAAAGCCTCAAAAGGTAATTGCAAAAGAAGTTGGATGTTCCCAAAGTGCTGTATCAAAGCACATTAATAGAAAGCTATGTGGAAGGGAAAAGTGTGGAAGAAAAAGGTGCACAAGCAGCAGGGATGACCGCAGCCTGGAGAGGATTGTCAGGAAAAGGCCATTCAAAAGTGTTGGGGACTTTCACAAGGAGTGGACTGAGGCTGGAGTCAGTGCATCAGGAGCCACCACACACAGACGGATACTGGACATGGGCTTCAAATGTCGTATTCCTCTTGTCAATCCACTGCTGAACAACAACACAACGTCAGAAGTGTCTTACCTGGGCTAAAGAAAAACAGACCTGGTCTGTTGCTCAGTTGCATCTCATTTGGAAATCAAGGACCCAGAGTATGGAGGAAGAATGGAGAGGCACACACTGCAAGATGCTTGAAGTCCAATGTGAAGTTTCCACAGTCTGTGTTGATTTGGGGAGCCATGTCATCTGCTGGTGTTGGTCCACTGTGCTTCATTAAGTCCAGGGTCAACGCAGCCGTCTACCAGGAGATTTTGGAGCACTTCATGCTTTATGGGGATGCTGACTTCATTTTCCAGCAGGACTTGGCACCTGCCCACACTGCCAAAAGCACCAAAACCTGGTTCAATGACCGCGGGATTACTGTGCTTGATTGGCCAGCAAACTCGCCTGACCTGAACCCCATAGAGAATCTATGGGGCATTGCCAAGAGAAAGATGAGAGACATGAGACTGAACAATGCAGAAGAGCTGAAGGCCGCTATTGAAGCATCCTGGTCTTCCATAACACCTCAGCAGTGCCACAGGCTGATAGCTTCCATGCCACGCCGCATTGAGGCAGTAATTGCTGCAAAAGGGGTCCAAACCAAGTACTGAGTACATATGCATGCTTATACTTTTCAGAGGTCCGATATTGTTTTATGTACAATCCTTGTTTTATTGATTGCATGTAATATTCTAATTTTCTGAGATTGTGGATTTGGGGTTTTCATGAGCTGTAAGCCATAATCATCACAATTATGACAAATCACGGCTTGAACTATCCTGCTTTGCATGTAATGAGTCTATCTCATATATTAGTTTCACCTTTTAAGTTGCATTACTGAAATAAATTAACTTTTGCATGGTATTCTAATTTTTCGAGTTTCACATGTAAGTGGGGAAGAAAACACAGTAACGGGAAAATTACGATAATAGGGGAAAAGAGAGGAAACAAACGACAAACAGTACCATGATACAGGGAATGGGGGAAGAATTAAAATGATATAAAAAAAGGGGGGGGGGGGTAAGAATAAGACTAAAATAATGAATAAAAAGATAAAAAAATTAGATAAAAAGCAAAAAAAAAAAAAAAAAGTTATAAATCTATGCATAATCCTCCCTGGGGTGCCATAATGGAGTATATAGTGTATAAAAATAGAAAATGGAAAAAATTATTAAAATTAAATTAAGTAAATAAACGCATGACGTATGGAAATATAAACGCATGAATATGGAAAAAACATAATATGGGAAAAAGGATGGGAAAAAAAATTTAAATTGAAGATTAAAAAAAAGTAATAAAATAGAATATGTTGCGAATACTTGTGAGAAAAAAAAATTGAAAAAGATCATGAAAAAAAAAAAATTATTAAAAAAAGTGGTAAAAAAATTAAAATGAGTAAAAATTAAAATGATAAGATAAGGTGGAGTAAAATGTGTTAGAGAATAGTGTTAACATCTAATTCCTCATTTAGACCACCTGGGGACAAAGTGTCCAATATAAAAATCCAGTATGTTTCTTGCGAGCAAAGTTTAATGAAACGTTCAGACTCTGAGAGGTTTCTGGATATGGATTCTAAAACCCAAACCTGTAGACCATCAGTGGATGATTTTCTGTTTTTTTTTGATCAGCTGGCTGGCTACTGAAAAACAACAATGGATGCCTTCATACATAAATTTGGGGTGGAGGAAGGAAATCCTCCCTCCTGTGCTATTGTATTCTGACAGCGGGGACTCCTCAGTTAACTTTTCAAAATTTCCAAACTTTCCAACATTACTGATCGAGACGTGTTAATCACTAGCTTGACTCTTCTCAAACAGAACAGCCATAGATGGAAAAAAATTTGGCCAGTCTCTGCTGAACTTCAATCCATCTATGGCCAGATTTAGACTTTTCTTCAGTTATTGTTTCTTATAGGCACTCACCTTCAGAATAACAAGGGTCGAACATTGCCAAGTCATTGGCAGTTAATGTACTAGCAGATGGCAGGGGGTCCTGGATGTCTTCAGCTTCTAACTGACATAAGTCTTCATTTAGGCCAAACAGTACATCAAGCTGAGTTTGAGTGCTGAGCTCTGGAAAGAGAATGACAGATTAATTACCTGAATTTAAGAACCTGCTGCACTCGCCTCATCATGAGAATCTCAGGGGTGTATTCATAAAAAAAAAAAAAAAAATCTGCAGAAAAATTCTCCCATTGTAAGTGCATGTACATTCATTCTGTGTAAATATGAAAAAAAAAAATGTTATTAGGCCTTTTCCTTTGCTTACCAAATGTTTTTTCTTCAAATAAACCAGAAAATACCACATTTGGCCACTAGAAGTGCGTGTGTGTATATTTTTTTTTTCCTCTTTCATTAATATTGGTTAAAAATAATTTTTAAAAAAAGATTCTTTTTTTTATATAAGTTAGTATAATAATATTAAAGTCTGTTTATCTAGATTTCATCATTTTTTAGCCAGCATATGGAGCTCTCTGTTTCTTTTCATGGCTTCCCCAGTCTCTGTATAGGCTGTTGGAAATAAGAACCTACTAACAGTAATTAGTCAGATTAACCCTTTCAGACTCAAGTCTGCACTAGAAAAACAAAGAAGCTGACTGGTTTCTTCTCAAGCATTACAAAACAATGAATAGACCCCAGTGTGTTAGATTCATTATACTAGGGAAGAATCTGCATAGTTTGGGCCGAGTCTTCAGTCATTTAGATCTTTTTTCATTTCAGTAACTGTTCAGGGTCTATTACAAAAGAAATGACATTTGGTCAGACTGAGCAGTGCAAAAAAAAAATTTGAGCCGCAGATAACCCTGTTGCAGTTCTGGGTGGGTGTCCTATGACGTCCTCCCAAAATGTGTCCTCAACGGCATGCACCCGGCGCTGTCTGTGATTACTGTGTCCTTTGGACAAGCTGATCACAGCACATGGTAAAAGTCCAATTCTTAGGCTAGTCAGAAATCAATTGGTAGCAGATATGTATACAGGGTTATTCCTATTTTATACCTTTATTGGCTGCCCTGGCCCCTGGTGTACCTCTCTTAGCCTTTGTATTGGCCGCTTGTCAGTGCAGCATCATCAGTGCCTCCTCATAAATGCCTACCAGTGCTGCTTCATCAGTGCAACCTATCAGTGCTGCCTCATCAACACACATCAGTGAAGGAGAAAAATTACCGGTTTGCAAAATGTGTACTAGAAACAAAGACAACTGTTTTTTGTTCCAGATCAACTTTCTTTCAATGCTTACACCAGACAAAAAGTGAGGTAAACTCTGCAATAGGGACACAGACAGTAATAAACATCTGACAGGGATTTAACCTCCACTACTCTACTGTAGAAAAGTATTGTTATTATTGTCTGTGTTGCTGCTGAAGATTTTCCCAATGTCCTTATCTGGTAGAAATGTTGTCACTGGGGAAGAGGTGATGGATAGGAGTTTTAATCTTCCCCTACTCTATCCAAAAATAAAATAACAAAGTTTTGGCTGGAATTACACTTAAATTTACTTTCAAGCTCAAAAATAATGCTTCATAAAGCAGTTAAAGCGGAGTTCCACTCACCGGTCAAAAAGTAAAAGTCAGCAGCTACAAAAACTGTAGCTGCTGACTTTTAAAAAAAAACAGCCACTTACCTGTCCCTCGGTCCCGCGGTGTGTCCCCAGCTGTTGTGAAACTACAAGTCCCATCATGCCTCTGCCTTTCAGAGTTATGCTTGTAACTGTCAATCTTGCAATGCGTCATGAGACATGTAGTTTGGGAACAACTGGAGGGCCGCCAGTTTCACACCTGTGATACAGACATAGACAGTTTTCATCTTACCTGCATTGGCCGTTTATTGGTAGTGAACTATGCTTTAAAGTCCAACTCTGGGCAGGGTTACCTACATGGGAGTTCAGCAGGCAAACATTCTTGTTCCTCGGGAGAACCTCACTGTCAATGTCACTGTCATATTTCTATATTCTGCAAACCAATTAGTTCACATGCAGGAGAAAGTTCCTCTCTCACTAGGCTTCCTGGTCGCTCCGGCTGTGAGCACTACAAGTCTCATAGACCCCAGTGCAACAGGTGCTTCTGCACCTCCTCTCCTCTAGGCCATTCACAAAACAGAGTCTGAGGACATGTGTTTTGTGAATAGTCAGGAGGAGAGGGGAGTGTAAATGTGACCACAGCCCTGGGGTCTATGAAACATGGAGCACCTAAAGTTGGAGCAGTCAGGAAATACTGCAGGAGGTGGACTTCCCCCTTGTATGTAAACTAATTGATTTGCAAGATGTTGAAGTTAAGCTGTCAGAAACACTGTAAAGTACGATGTACAGACCATTCTAGTAATTCATACAGCTTACTCTGAAAACTGTTATTTTCCAGTCTGCAAGACAGTACCATTACTGCTGATGTCTTCATCGTGCTCAGCTGCCTCTACTGACTCGGACACGTCTGAACCATTCGTCACTTCTTCTTTCATTTCAAGTGAAGAACTTCGTATTGGCTCTGGAACCAAAGGAGGGGGTAAGACAAGGGTTTCTGTTGCATCTGGGCCATCTGATCGCATGGTGACCTCTCCCGCCTGTGGATAGTACACATAGCTCTATTATGAATATAGAGAATGCAACCCCCTTCTTATACTCCACATAACCATCTGTCTTACCCTGAAGAACTCCTTTAGTTGGGGGCTGTTATTCAGTGCTGTGATGTTCACAGTGAACCTTAGCATATCTTCTGCAGCTTTTCTGCGTTCCTCTATAACCGGTGCTTCAAAACGCCCTGACAACAAAAAGGACACATGCGTGTTAAAAGGTGTTAAAAAAAAAAAAAAAACACAAACAATTTTACAAAGGTTATTTTTTTTTAATTTGCAATTTATTGAACCAAACCGCACCTAAACTCTCTCTTATTCTTAACAGCCAAATAAGCTGCTATTTTTAGCCTCTGTTTGATCTGCAGTTGCCATGGTGTTGCACAAGTGATCAGTAGTTAGGTCACTGGCCATTTGGTGGCTTGACAGTTCAGTTGACAGCACAAGCAACTGTGACCTATTCACAGCATGCCTTGATTGTAACGGTTTTGGGAAGCCATTAAATCAGTGGGTTTAGTCCCGCTTAAACAGAAAGATCTAATTGTTTGCTAAGGACTCCATATGCATCTGATACATGAAACCCTGTATTATATGGCATACCTTACAGGCATCAGAAGGGAAATGTTACTCATGAGAGGAGGAGGTGTAGGCAAACTTAAGTTCACCTTTAAAATAAACAAATAAATAAATGCACATCTTTTTGCTAGTAAAATTTTTTTTTTTTTTTTTTTTCTTTTTTACTAACTAGGAGCCTGGAAAGTATTGCACCAGCAATCAGCAGATTGCGGGTGTAATGCAGGACTCCTAGAGATTGTCAGTGTATCTGTCTGCTCGTACCTCATATGAACGGGCAATTACACACTGTGTCCTGGTAATTCATTGGGAACTATAAGCCGACAGCCACAAAGGCTGTTGGTACTTGCAGATTTCATTTCACAGAACTCTGTAAATGAATGACTCAGCCGGTGGGCAAAGCCCCCCATTGCCCTGTTTTTTTGGGTTTTTTTTAATAGTGGCAGCGAGTGGGGGGAGAAGATCCCTCCACTTGCTGTCACTAGATGCCACAGATAGGGGAGACACTGCAGGAGTGGGAACATGTTACATGCTTCACTCTAAAAACGGGAGGAATATGTAATATGTTCCCAAAGGTGAACTTATCCTTAATTTCTAGATGCTGACACAACACACTCAATATAGGGAGGTTGGGTTAGAATGTGTGCTATTTCTTTTCAATTGCTGTCTGACAGACTTCGGCAGGTGCAAAAATTGGATACTACAGGATGTAACCAGTTCCAGTTGCTTCTGATGCACTTTGCGAGTGATCAGCACAGAGAAATGAAGGAATAGTGTTCAGGACTTACCAAAAACATGAGCCTTGGCGAATGCTGGAAATTCCTGGGTGCGCTGGAAGAGATTCCGGTGAGTGTAGGAGAGCTCCCCATGAAGTTTTTTGAAGTCGCTGTAACGTTTCCAAACCACAATCTGGAAGATGAAAGACCTTTATTCTGCAAATGATGGTTTTCAATCACTGTGAACACATCTAAATACAGTAGTGAGCATAGAGATAATGGATAAAGGTGTAGTGAAACCTCGTGTAGAAATGTATTGCTAATAGTGGTTACCAAACTGGAGGGCACAACGGCAACCTTGAAAAAGGGAGTGTAACTACGCCCATAACATGGGGCTGGGGTCTCCCTCATTCTATAAAACAGGGGGAGACTTTCTTGCTCCTAACTCTTTGCATTCAGGGACAGATAGGGATTGAATAAGCGCTGTCACTCACAAATCTGTTTCCTAGCAGCATTGTTGGATAGCAGGGGGGAAACTGAACATGATTCTTAACAAGGCAGGGCGGATTCTACTTGGCCCAAGTGCAACATGCAAATAGGTGAAATGGAAAATCACACATGTAGGCAGTATGTTTACAAACGCTGCTACAGTATCTATACGTACAGTATATAGGCATTATTTTATACTGATATTTGTAAACCTATCTTGTTGTGGCTATGGTGTGCTTACTCTTTTTTGATATACTAGTGTTGTAAGTCAGTTGAATAGAGTGGGGTGGATTTACTAAAGGTAAATACATTGCAAACTTTGCACTCATTTTCTCCAGCGCTTAGCCACTTGCCCTCCAGAGGATTTACCCCCCTTCCATTTTTTGCGATACAGCGCTGCATTACTGGAACTGACAATTGTGTGTCATGAAATGCTGCACCAATATGAAATTTATGTCCTTTTTTCCCCACAAATAGAGCTTTCTTTTGGTGGTATTTGATCGCCTCTTTGTTTTTTATTTTTTTGCACTATAAAACAAAAAAATTCTGACAATTTTGAAAAAAACAACTACTTTTTGGTATTAAACATGTCCAGTAAAAAAAATAAAAATCAAATTTCGTGATAAATTTAGGCCAAAATGTATTCTGCTACTTGTCTTTGGTAGAAAAAAAATCCCAATATGTGTAAATTAATTGGTTTACGTGAAAGTAATAGCATTTACAAATTGCAGTGTATATATACTGGGATTTTTTTGTTATTTTTACTAGTAATGGCGGTGGCAGTAATGCTCCTTGATCACCGGGTGCCGGCGAGTAATGCAAAATCTCGTGTGTATATATACACATGATTTTGCGCACCCCTGCTGCCCTGTAACAGTATATCCGCTATAGGGCGGCGGGGAAAGCAGTTAAAAGGATAAGTTAATGTTTTGACTAAAAATAATAAATGCACTTTTTTTGCAGGTATTATCACATCACTGATAAACAGATTCTTACTGGAAGGACTTTTTGTTTATTATCATATTGATTGCACAGAGTTGTATGTATATTTAATTCATACTTTTTTTTTTTTTATGTATTCTGCGACATGTCTTTGCTAAAAAAAATCCCAATACGTGTAAATTAATTGGTTTAAATGAAAGTTCTAGCGTCTACAAATGGCGGTATATACACTGGAATTTTTTTCTTTTTTTCAACTAGTAATGGTGGTGATCAGCGACTTATAGCGGGACTGCGGTGGGCATTCTGACACTGGGAGGAAATGACTTGGTGTCACTGACATCCCCAGTAACAATACAGTGAACAGTGCTAATAAAAAGCACTGACACTGTACTAATGGCACTGGGCAGGAAGGGGTTAACATGTGGGGTGATCAAAGGGTTAACTGCGGGTGCCGGTGTGATTTTGAGCACCAGTGCCGCCCTTTAGCAGTATTTCTGCTATAGGGTGGCAAGGTGGAGGCTAGTAAATGTGGTAGAGCTCTGCTGATATCTATGAGCCAATCATGTGCAAGAAAAAATACTGTTTGTTTTTTTTAATTTTCCTTTCACCTGATTGGGTATTCTTTACAAAGTTAAGCTTTGCCACGTTACATTTACTAAAGGAAAATTAGTGCAACTGCACTTGCAGAGTGCACAGTCTATTTGCCCTTAGTAAATTCACCCCTTTGGCTTTGAGTGGAAGCATTCATTTTTATATCTAGTTGAAGGTAAAAAACCTCCTGTCTTTTTAGAATTACTTTATGTATTCTATCCATGAAGGTATGAAAACCTTCTGGGTGCAGCACTCCTCTCAGCCCCATCTTGATCCAGCGATGTGCATGAGAGCTGGGTCTCTCTCTCTCTTCATTGGCTCACACAGCAGTGGGAGCCATTGGCTTCTGCTGCTGTCAATCACAGCCAGTGAGCCAATAAGGAGAGAGCCAGGGGTCGAGGCTGAGCCATGCTCTGTGTGAATGGACAATGTCCATTCACTTAAGCACAGCTCTGGAGTGAGTCTGCTTGCGTGCCTCCATAGCAAGGGGCTTGCTATTGGAGGCACTCAGCAGGGGGGGGAGGAGCCAAGACCACCCGCACGGGACCCAATAAGAATCTGTTCGAGGCAAAACCACTGCACAGAGTAGGTAAGTATATCATGATTGAATTAAAAAGAGAAAAAAAAAAATCACAACCATCTTCAGAATCACTTTAAGACTCAGCATACAATTTACTTATTTGTAGTACTAATAAATTATATATAAACCTGTCATTTAAAGATCTGGCAATGACACCCCCCCCCCCAATTCTGCAGTGCTGCTCCTCCTTCCCTTTCTTATCTGTCACTCATAAAAGACAATGACAAGTAGAAGAAGAGGACCAAAATTGTTCTGCAAAAAAATGTTTTAGAGACAAGAGGGGTACTAACTCTGAACCAAAGAGCAGTTAATGCAAAGCCAACAATAAACTCTGTACATACCTCTTTAACATCCTGAGGGTTCTTCTTTGGTATAAACTAAAAAGAAAAGATAACATGAATATTAAACACAAAAAGCATTTAGAAAAAGTGGCCCTCCTGAAATGTACCACCATTCAGCCCAAGGTTCTGGCTACAAATTAAAAAAAAAAAACCTATAATGGTTTGAGGTCAGTTTTTTATTTCTTATTTTTTATTGTTGATACATTTTGAAAATGATACCCTATATCTTTCTATTTTTGTTATTTAGTTAAAAAAAAAAAAAAAAAAACACATTATTTTATAAATATACAGTCAATACAAGGTGCACCTATGGCACAGCATCCAATGAACATTATAGGTTTTCCAATGAAGAAGCAAAGAAGCTGTTTGACTTTACACTTTCATTGAAACTCCAATGGGCTCCTTAGGAACAGAGCCCTCAGAGAGGGGAAATGAAAAGGGTGAGTTGCTCTAGTAACTCAATCACCCTTGCATGTAAATCTGAGCTTGAGCTATTAAGATCTGTGAACAGATCTTTTTCAGAAAAGCAATCACGATTAGAGCAGAAAGCAAAAAGACTCAGATTACCACCCTGTGGACAGAAATGTAAAAATAAACATGTAATGTCTAAATAAAAATAATGTATTTATTTTTAGTCATGGGCATAATAAAGAAAACATATAAAACACTATACTTTCCTTTTAAGGAGATTTAAGGACACTTATTGGTCAAAACACCTAGTAAAACAACTCATTCGGTTTAAAACAGAAACAAAAAGGGAAAACATTTGTGTATAGATATAAATACATTATAAATACATTTTTTCCCTTTTCTATTTGTGTATACAGCGCTGACTTTTCTGATGTGCCGCCATCTCTGCTGCCTTAAGGAGCTTACAATCTAAGGTGCCTACTTTTACATGCATACATAAACATACTAGGGCCAATGTTAGACAGCCAACTGACCTACCAGCATGTCCTCGGCGTGTGGGAGAAAACCCACACAAGCACAGGGAGAAGATGTAAACTCTATGCGGCAGTCTAATGGGAAAGATGGATAGTACTAGTCTAAAGTCATACAGGGGCTGCATGTGTTTAGCTGCATGTGGTCTCCAATGGTTTACATATGTGCACTGCATCATAAAAAATTTTATTTAGGTCCCCTGGCAGTAAAGACGTTATATCAGAATTGTATATGAAACAGAAACCTTCCTTGTTCTTTTTTCTTATCTACAGTTACAGTACAGACACACAGAAAGCAAACAGAGCAAGGTTTTACCCTAGTCTGGGACCGGAGGAAATGTTAGAATTACAAAGCTCTATTTTTATGCCTTGAATCATTTACAGGTCCTTTATGTCGGAGTATGCAATAACAAATGTTATGGAGGAGAATGTTAACCACTTGAGCCTGAGGATTTACCCCCCCTTAATGACCAGGCCTTTTTTTGCTGTTTGGCGCTGGCACTAAGTCAAATGATAATTGCGACGGTCATGCAATGCTGTACCCCAACTACGAAAATTTACGCCCTTTTTTTCACACAAATAGAGCTTTCTTTTTATGGTATTTTATCATCTGTGCACTTTTTATTTTTTGCGCTATAAAAAAAAAAACACGAAAAATTTGAAAAAAAAAAACCAATATTTTCCTACTTTCAGCTATAAAAAATATATCGTAAACTCAAAGTTAGTCATAAATTTAAGCCAAAATGTATTCTGCTACATGTTTTTGGTAAAAAAAATCCAATAAGTGTATATTGATTGCTTTGTGTGAAAGTTATAGTGTTGTCTACATAACTATGGTATATGATACTGCAATTTATGCCTTTTTTTGCTATACAGCGCTTTTGCACTAATTCAAATGATAATTGCTTTGATAGCGGTCATGCAATGCTGTACCCAAACGAAATTTACGTCCGTTTTTTTCACACAAATAGAGCTTTCTTTTGGTGGTATTTGATCACCTGTGCGCTTTTTATTTTGTTGCGCTATAAACAAAAAAAAAAAACACAAAAATTTTGAAAAAAAAAACTATATTTTCTTTCAGCTATAAAAAATATATCGTAAACTCAAAAGTTAGTCATAAATTTAAGCCAAAATGTATTCTGCTAACATGTTATGGTAAAAAAAATCCATGCATTAGCAGGGCAAACAACTGGGGGGGGCGCTGATAATGGGAAGCTTGGGCGCTAACAACTATTGGAAGTCACCAGTGACACTATACAGTGATCAGTAAAAAATCTGTTCATAGTAATTAATCAATGACACTGGTGACAGGGCAGTGAAGGGGTTAACTGGGGGGGGGGAGGCGATCAAAAGGGGTTGGACGGGATTAACTGGTGTTATTATTGCGCTATCTGGGAGGGGCGCTAACACTATCGGAAATCGCCAGCGAACGAAGATAGCAGTGATCATAAAAATTGTATCGGGCTCACACTGATCAGTGAACACTGGAAAACGCATGGGCATGGTGTGATTATTGTCCCGGAATGAACTCAGAATCAGGGCCAGGGTTACCTGGGGGGGGGGGGGATCCCTTTAAGGTAAGCCAGGGCGCTCAAGAGTGCTTAAGTGAAAGCGGGAAGCCCCAGAAAAACAAGATGCCAGAATACTGGTATGTTAAACACTGATACAGTGATCACGGGTTCACTAATCAGTGCGGGCAAGAAGGGGTCTGGGGGGGGGGCTCTATCTTACTGGGTAAATCTGGCGCTAACTGCTATACAGAAGTCTCGCCAGCGACACTGATACAGTGATCAGTAAAAATTCGGTTTTCACTGATCAGTGACACTGTGAGCGAGGGACAGTGAAGGGGTTAACTGGGGGGGGGGGGGGGGCATCAGGAGGTTAAATGTGTCCTAGGTGTGTTCTAACTGTGGGCATGTGCTGTTTTTACTCACTATTTGGGATGTCTTTCTTCTGTCTGGAACGAGACATGTGTCCAGGCAGAGAAGAATGACATCATATCCTGTCCCTGTGTAAATGTCAACACAGGACAGGATAGGACAGGGACCGATCATCTGATTTCAGCAACGACATCAGCTGGCTGATCAAAATGGTGTCACATCGTCGTCCGGGTAACCCCAAATGGTTTTCTGTCCCCACCCCGGCCCCCAGCCCCCCAGTCGGCGTCGGCGGAGCGGCGTGCGCCCCTGCCCGGCGAAAAACATCGGGAGCGCGGAACCCGTTTTAAAACGTGGTTATGCGCCCCAGTGCCAACCTGCACACGGTAATATATACGAAATGGCAGGGTAGGCAAGAGTGGTATAATATCAGTTTATCTTACGTCATCTACAGTATAAACATTCAGGTGAAACAAATCAGTGCCTGGTCATACTGGTTGCGATTTCAGGTGCAATTTGGGAATTGAAATCTCAACTGAAATTGCATCTAATGAATGTGAATGTCCAGTGCACTTAACATTTGCGATTTGCTGCAGCGTGATTTCTAAAGTAGTTCTTGCATTACTTTTTCTGCAGTTTTGTTGCATTTTACAATACATAGAAAATAATGGAAATCACATTTGCAAATTGAAAGAAATTGTTGAAAATCTTTGCAAGTAGCAATAAAGTCTTCAGAAATCGAACATGAAATCACGCTGAAACGTGCACACAAATCTCAGCGGTGTGACCGGTGACTAAGTGCATGCGAAGCCAAAATAAAAAAGTAGAAAAAGGAATTTACTGAGCTCAGGATAAATAACAGAACAAGCTGCCAGCACTGGGAGTTAAGATACTTAAACTTAATACCATAAATATAAAAAAGAAGTGCAGCGCTATGAAATCCTAAACTCACTAGATCAGTGATATAAAACCACACTTAAGTGCTGAAAATGTCATACTCTAAATAATAATGAAAACAATATTTAAAAAAATAAATAAATCTAAAGATAAAAAACTAAAAGTGTCCAGTGAAGTAACAAAAGGAAAAAAAAACAAACAAAACCACATAAAAAGTATTATATATATATTTATGATAAAAAAAACACACACCACACACACACAAACACTTCCTAATCCAGAGACAGAAAAACACCAATGTGCTTTTGAAAAAAATTAGATGCCGCAAAGTCGTGAATAGTGCACCTGATCCAGAAATCGCACTGTAGCTCCTTACCAGATCACACAGACCACTCTGTATCAACAAGATGGTCTAACAGCGCTTAAGGGGTTAAAAGCTCCCATCTACTTGCTTGCTTCCTCCGATGCGTTAATATGGAATGTACCACCAAATTTGCTCAAAAAAAAAACTGAAGTGAAAAGAGCACTCTCATAGCATAAAAACCAGATTTATTTAAAAAGGTAGGAGTACACACTCACAGTTAAAAAGCAGCCGACAGCATATAAACTGATGTATGGCGTTCTATATGTGGAAGCGGATCGGACCCGGCTGTCTGCCAAACAGGATCCACATGCGCGATGACTTCACCATTGAGGCCTACGATGGTGACGTCATCATATATTTTTCCTGAGGTTGGAAAGAGGGGCACCTTCAAAATTCCACACCATTTCAATGTTTTTTCTTTTCGCCTTCAATGTATTGGGATGTGGTGCTGGTTATTCAATTTACCTAAATAAATTTGTCTAACCCTTCTTAGGTTGTCACCTGAACAGGTTTCCATCTTTGGAAGATTTCCTATTTCACCCTCTCTTACAACTTTAGGTGTCCTTTCAGATGAGCATTTCAATCAGGCGGATATGAAAATAAGCTCAATGTTATTCTATGGGTAGGGAGATGTAAATGGAACATGTGTCAGTTTGCATTAGGTTACCTTCAAATATGTTTAGATCACATTAAACAAAAAGAAAGAAAATGGAAAAGGTTTGCATCCCTTTCCATTTTTTTTGGACCAAACTATGGAAGATCAGAGGTCAAAGGATGTAATCAAATGCACATTTGTTTACATCCAACTTTCCAAAGAGACCTAACATGGGTCTATTACAAAATACAGGAAAAAACTGAATGGACATCCCACATGTGAACCATATTGTTCATGGATCCCCTGAAAGGGCCCTACAATATTGGATTTCCTACCACTTTTTTTTGTACTGAAGAACAAAGTTCACCAGAAACAAAATGAGGATAAAAAGTCACTATACAGGTACGCAGACAGAAATTTCAAACAAAAATAGTTTTAACCCTTCCACATTTCTATCCAGCAGAAAAAAAGTTTTAGTTCTGCACCACTTTGATTTCAGACTGAAAAGATGGAGAAGATGTATTTTATAGAATTATACAACTCTCTGCTTTCAGTTTCATAATCTCAGGTTTTTCATTCACTTTTTAATGAAATTCTGGGGAAACAGTTAACTGATAATTATTATTATTATTATACAGTATTTAATATAGCGCCAAAAGGGTTTGCTCAGCGCTGTACAATAGCAAGGGTGACAGAACATGAGACAATAAACAGTAACAATACAAATACACGGAGGGGTTTCGAGGGCCCAGCTCTTCTTTCGAGACTCACAATCTAGGATAATATTTTAAGGCTTCCTAAGCAGAAATGCCTCTTTTTAAGCAGTGGGTTTTATTAAAATGTCTTTTGTCTATGATGGAATAACTGAGGATCAGAATCCGTGACTAATCAGTCCTCACAAGTTCTAAACACACGTGTCAAGACCTGGACGGTCCTAACAGGTCCTCATGGGGTGTTGTTATTAATACCATGCCAGCTGGAGTGTCTCTAAAATCAGACCTCCCTTCTGCATAGACTAAATATTTTTCAATCACTTCTAGACCCTCAGCTTAGTTCAATGAAGCTTTGGCAATGAAACCTGGAAGCCTGATTGGTCATTCTAAGGGAGTATGATTTTGGGACTTTCAGCTTTTAGTAAATTCAAACCCCAAGGGTGTTAATCCATGCCATAGGTACATTATTCCATATCTCTAAGGCTAACAGTATGATTATTGTGGTTAGATTTCTATTACTATACATAGTTTTCAATTTAACTTTTCCTCATCATTATCGTTAGTTTAGGATGTTTTCTTTGTTTAGAGCAACTAGCATCAGTCTTGTGATACTTGGTAGTTTTCTTGATCATGCACCCTCACAAAAGTAAGGACGTTTTAGGTTCATGTCTTCATTTTCAAAGCCAAATGCCATACTATCATTATCTATATTTGGGTATGGTTGGTATGGTAGGAACCTTTAGGTCCTTATTAGTTTCCCATAGATCAGATGTATGTACATCCCCCCTCCTGTCCCATAGATCAGATGTATATATCTCCCCCCTCCTGTCCCGTAGATCAGATGTATTATATATTTCCCCCTCCTGTCCCGTAGATCAGATGTATATATATCCCCCCTCCTGTCCCGTAGATCAGATGTATATATCTACCCTCTCCTGTCCCGTAGATCAGATGTATTAAAGCCACCCCTCCTGTCCCATAGATCAGATGTATAACCCCCCCGTCCCATAGATCAGATTTATATATATTCCCCCTCCTGTCCCATAGATCAGATGTATATATCCCCCTACTGTCCCATAGACCAGATGTATCCATAGATCAGATATATCTATATATATATATACCCCCTCCTGTCCATTAAATCCCCCCTCCTATCCCATAGATCAAATGTATATACCCCCCCTTCTGTCCCATAGATCAGATGTATATACCCCCCCTCCTGTCCCATAGATCAGATGTATATACCCCCTCCTGTCCCGTAGATCAGATGTATATATCCCCCCCTCCTGTCCCATAGATCAGATGTATATATCTACCCCCTCCTGTCACATAGATCAGATGTATATATCTACCCCCTCCTGTCACATAGATCAGATGTATATATCTACCCCCTCCTGTCCCATAGATCAGATGTATATATATATCTACCCCCCTCCTGTCCCATAGATCAGATGTAATTACCCCCCTCCTATCCCATAGATCAGATGTATATACCCCCTCCTGTCCCATAGATCAGATGTATATACCCCCCTCCTGTCCCATAGATCAGATGTATATACCCCCCTCCTGTCCCATAGATCAGATGTATATACCCCCCTCCTGTCCATAGATCAGATGTATATACCCCCCTCCTGTCCCCTAGATCAGATGTATATACCCCCCTCCTGTCCCATAGATCAGATGTATATACCCCCCTCCTGTCCCCTAGATCAGATGTATATACCCCCCTCCTGTCTCATAGATCAGATGTATATACCCCCCTCCTGTCTCATAGATCAGATGTATATACCCCCCTCCTGTCCCATAGCTCTTCTCTTCCTCCTGTGTCGGATGCATACAATGACAGCTCCTCTCCTCTCCCTCCTCGTGTACTGATCAGTGATGTTGTACAGTGCAGCGCTCTATTTCCTGCTCTCCCCTCCCCCGGAGTAGCACCGTCCAGGGATGGGTGTAGCGGAGTGTTTAGCAGTGATGTTTTCTATAGAGGAGCTGACATTGGGGTACACAGAACACACACACACTATGGGGTCTCACCATACAGGGGAGGGTTCGCTCACCTCAGCGACCACCTTGTACTCTGTGAATCCTTTGGGATTTGTCCGGGTATCGGTCACGTGATACCTCCGGTCATACTGATCCCGGACAGCCCGGGACATCTTGCCCGGACACAATGTCACTTCTGCCTCTTTAAGACAGCAAGTTTCATGTGACTACACCGAGCATGCGCACGCTATTGGACTTGCCATCCGGTAGCTGTATAGTACAGAGCGGCTCACAGATACAGAGAGATAGGTGGCTGCCAACCATGAGTTCTGCGCATGCGTGCTTCACCTTGTACGTACAACTTAGCCAACCAATGAGCTCGGGCAGGCTAGTTGGTACTTCTACTGGACAAAAGAGGAGATGTAGGTGGGGTTTTATGATGGGGCAGATCATAACGGTGTATTAACCCCTTGCCTTCCCTTGCCTTCCAGAGGATTTTCCCCCTTCTTGACCAGGCCATTTTTTGCATTATGGTGCTGCGTTACTTTAACTGACAATTGAGCAGTCATGCAACGCTGTACCCAAATTAAATTTACATCCTTTTTTTCCCACAAATAGAGCTTTTTTTTCAGTGGTAGTTGATCACCTGTGTTTTTTTTTTATGCTATAAAAAAAAATGACAATTTTGAGGAAAAAACAATATTTTTGACTATTTGCTATTAAACGTCCAGTAAAAAAGTTTTAAAAAATCTAAATTCATCATAAATTTAGGTCAAAATGTATTCTGCTACATGCCTTTGCTTAAAAAAAAATCACAATATGTGTACATTAATTGGCTTACATGAAAGTTATAGCGTTTACAAATGGTGGTATATATATTGGATTTTTTTTTTATACTAGTAATGGCGGCGATCAGCAACTTATAGCGGGACTGTGGCAAACATTCAGACACTGGCGAGAACTGACTTGGTGTCACTGACATCCCCAGTGACACCAATACAGTGATCAGTGCTAAAAAAAAAAAAAACTGACACTGTACTAATAGCACTGGGCAGGAAGGGGTTAACATGAGGGGCAATCAAAGGGTTAACTGTGTGCTGGGTGTGTTTTACTATGGGGCTGTGTGTTGGTGCTTCACTGTAAGCACACTGCTTTGTATTGCTGTGCTGTGCACAGCCATGCAAAGCAGTGTGCATGAGCTGACAGGGAGGAAAACTGTTTTGTTTACAAACCTTTCTCCTCCCCGTCAGAGATCCTCTGCAATCACTAGGCGCCGGCGAGTAATCACCGGCTGGGACCCTGTGATTGAAAGCTTCAGCATGCGCCCCCTACCCGGAAATGCGAAATCACGTATTTATACATGATTTTGCGCACCTGGGCCACCCTGTAGCAGTATTTCTGCTATAGGGCAGATGGGAAGCGGTTTAAAGTATAACTAAAGGATTTTTTTTTAGTTTTGGAGTAGAAGGGGATTAAAAACTTATCAGGTGTTTATTGCTGTCTGTCCATTGTTAGTGAGATTTCACCCTGTTTACCAATATCACTGAGAGTGAAAGAAATCCCACAACTTGGGTTTACCCTGGATAGCACATGAATAGAGAGGAAATCTTCCAAGAGGGACACTATTTCAGGTGACACCCTGAGATTCCTTTAACTTGTAGGGATTTGCTCTCATTTTCTGTTTTGTCTATGGGGCAGGAAGTGAAGGGAAATCTCCCCAATGTAGAAACATGAGTGGGGTTATAACCCTCCCTGTACTCTATGCAGAATGAAAAAAAAACAATTTTGCCTTCAGTTCTACTTTAAGACGCCCAATCCAATCCACTGAGCCCTGTGCTCTCCTTCATTACAGTAAACCTGGAGATATAAGAATCCTGTCCTCAGACATTATGTAGACGTTCATAGATTCAATTTTTATTTCCCTTTCAATAGTTGTGATAGATTTTACAATTGGGAATATTGTAAAGTCATTGTTAATAATCTAACAATATAATGACATCAGGATTTATTTGAAGATGAAAGAATCATCAATATGGAGAATATTGTTTCTGAACAGTATTTAAGAGAAAAAAACCATGAAAGTGCAGTGAGGGATATAGCAATATGGACAGAAGTTTATTTTTGTAAATATTGTATCCAAGGTTTCCAAACTTTCAGAGCTGAAACATTTGAAAATGCTGATTGTCTGGCTGCAATGCTAATGAAATGCAGAATTCATCCTTCAATTCGCTTAGGGATGTAAAATGGGATGAAAGCCTAAGGCAGCCCATACATAGGTAATTTTTCTGGTTTAAAGCAGAGTTCCAGCTGAAAAAAAAAAATAAAAGCAGTTACAAAAAGCAGTTACAAAAACTGTAGCTGCTGACTTTTAAAATACAGCCACTTACATGTCCCTCGGTGTCCTGACCACGGCTGGTTTCCAGTATATATACTGGAATTTTTTTTTACTTGTAATGGCGGTGATCAGCGACTTAGTGGCACTGCGGTGGGCATTCTGACACTGGGGGGAACTGACTTGGTGTCACTGACATCCCCAGTAACACCAATACAGTGATCAGTGCTAATAAAAAGCACTGACACTGTACTAATTGCACTGGGCAGGAAGAGGTTAACATGTGGGGCGATCAAAGGGTTAACTGTGTGCTGTTTTACTATGTGCTGTGTGTGTGTGAGATTTACACTGTAAGCACACTACTTTGTATGGCTCTACTATGCTGAGCCATACAAAGCAGTGTGCAGGAGCTGACGGGAGAGATCTGTGTTGTTTATACACAGGTGTCTCCCCTGTCGGAGATATTTGTCGATCACCGGGTGCGGTGATAAATCACTGGCCGGGGCCCGGTGATTGACAGCTGAGGCCGTGAATGGCTGCATATGCTATATACGTGATTTTGCACACCTGTGCCGCCCTGTAGCAGTATTTCTGCTATAGGGCGGCGCGGAAGTGGTTAATGTGAAGAATCGGCGTATACAGTGACGCTGTGAGTAAACATTGCAAAAAACTCCTTCCACAGTAGTGCTACGAACAGTAAAACAAAACTGCTGATTATGAGAAATCATTCATAACATAAGTCCATCCATTTCTGTAAGTATTAAAGTCCATGAAAATAATGTGAATATCACTTTCAGTGCTTCAATCATCCTAATACTTTATATTCCAAGCCAAAATCACCACTTGTTTGTGCAACAACCTTCCCTTCTAGGCGTGCACTCACCAGACCAACATACCTCCCACTCTCATGGTTGGTATGTATCGCTTGTTAGACCTCCAATAGAAGTATCGCTGTGTAAACTTCAGAAATCTCCTTAATTCTCTCCATCAGGTATCATTGCAATAAAAAAATAAAAGATATTCTCCAATGATACAGTAACCAATGCTCAAAGTTTTATTCAATATGATTAAAAAGCCACTCACAAAGTGTATAAATTAAAACACCTTTCATGATTCAGTGGATTGACATCAGATGTAGGTATTGTGTGTGACGATCGCAGCGTCAGACCCCAGCCTTTCTCACCAAACTCGTGACCGAAGGACTAGCCAATCTAAAACCGTGCTGTCACGTGCGTAACAATGCCACGCCCAGCTGCACCCTGCACACAGATTTTCCAGCTAATGGTTTACAACCTGTGTGCCGGCAGCCTGGGAGCGATTGTTACTGGGTCAGGTTAATTACGCAATTAACCCTTCACACTGCCACCACCTCCTTTTTGTACAGAGAAAGAGGAAATTCGGCAATATCAGCAATAACACTATGATGTTTGAATAATCGTCAGTATACCACTGTCACCACAGGCAGAGATATACTGAAGTTTAAAACACACACAGAGTAGCGTCTTCAGAGGCGGGGGTGCTTAGTTTGCATTAAAGAGCTTTAGAAACAGTTCAACACTTTCAGAAAGTAAGATTTATTACTAAAAGATCAAAAGGGTGCAATAAAAATATTTACAGAAAAAGATGTAGCCTATATATATATACAGTATATATAAATATACAGAAAAAACAGCACAGCACAGCAAAGAGATAACAGAAAGAAGTTTAGAGGGATAAAGTACTTGCCGTCAGCCTTGGGTTAAGCAGATCAGGTTTCAGAGCCAAAAGGGTCTTATCTACCAAAGTTAGATGTTAAAAAGGGAGATTCTTCAACTTCTCTCAACTCAGCTCAGCCTACCTTCAAGCATGACAGCCTTTATCTAGGAACTCAGCAGGGTGTCTCCCTGAAGCAGAGAATCAATCGCCTCATTTGGGCGGGTGTGGCAAGCAGAGACCCAAGCTATGCCCAAAAATCCCTCCTAGCTTATATTATGGTTCATAACTTACCCTGGATACATATAACATTCTATCAACGAGTAGATTAATACGCAGAATCTTCTGCTGAACGTCTACATATGAAATATGAGATACCTGCTGGGATGGTTAAGGAGATATTATTTTCTGCTCTCCTGTTGATCTCAGCTAGGGGATGTAATATACCAAACAATTTGTATTAAAGTGAGTTGTCCGAATATGTGATCCATGTTTATGTAGTTATGTCCTATTTAAAGATATAAAATTATATGGAAAATTTAGTTTTTAAATGTACGTCTGTTTTTCGACTACCTGGAATGTCTTTGAGGCTCCGTGAGGGCTTGGTTTTTGGTTTTACGATATCCCAGATTGCGAAGCTAACAGGCATCTAGTCACCAGCTCGGCTGGGGTTTTATAGCCATGATGCCCTCCCAATGAGTTTGCTGCCTGTGATCTCTGCAACAAACCACATGTCACTCAACAGAGAGGAAGGGGAGATGAGGAAAGCTGATTTGGGAGTGGAAAATGATCGAAGATGGAAGATCCTTAACAAGATGGATGACCGCATGCATCTCTGTATGCACAATTGCTACATTGTGCTCTCACTACCGCAGGACCTCTCGGATGGCGCTCCGGAGTCACTTTCGGTTCCGGCTCTTGACGTCACATGTGGTCACCACACAACCTCACACTGACGCGTTTCGTCACTTCCGACTTAGTCATATGGATCAGAACACACTGATCAGTGCTGCCAGCTATAGTTGAAAGCACTAATCGAGGAAAATGTATTTGACAGCCTGGCTGTACAAAAGTTGATCAGTAGATTGCCTTCTGTACAACCAGGGTGCCCATACATGGATCAAAATTTGGCTGCTGAACCAGTCAAAT